CTGCAACAGCAGCAGGCCGTGCACCTCTGTTTCTACAGGAGAAGGGAGGAGGTGGTGGGGGGAATTGAATTGAAGGCGTCTGAGAATTTCACACCTAACTTTGCCACGGGAAAGTGGAGGGAGACAGAGGCAGCASTGATGGAAAGCGTTAATTGCTGAGACGGAGCGGGAGACAAAACTCGGGCTCTGAAATCTGATCAACTAGTGGCGCTTCTCAGTTGCAGTTGGAGGGGATAATTTTAAAAATAATTGCTTAACTGGGCTAGTGGAAGCGCTGTTTATTCGTCTTAGCAAAATTAGGGAGTTAAACCRTTTCCTTGTGCTGCGTGGTTGCTGGGGTTTGTCAATACGCTTGGTAAATTCACCGAAGGGCACAGTGGGATCTCACAGTGGGACTGAAAACAAATCCATAGGGCTGCTGTGCGCCGGATCAGATGAAGATCATGTTGTTTTAATTCTGCTTTGCAAAAGCTACCCGGTACAAGCCACACACACGAGCGCTCTGCTCACGGGGCTGAAACTTTAAACAGTTTCCCRTCGTCTTTTTTCATTGTAGTTGATTTTTTCTGCGGGGTTCGTGGTGGTATAAAGCACATAATACTACGTTTGGTCTGAAAATGCTTAATAATTTTCATGGCAAGCTTGCCAAACTGACTTACTGCCAAGTAGCAACTGCCCTCCTAAGTAAAGTTCTGAGGACCTGCTAGATGGTGCTGTTCGATTTAAATACACACTCAGAACTAACAGCTGGAAATGTGGGCTCTTCACGTGTAGATTATTTTATGCAAAACACTGGCACGGTTTGTTTTTACACCGTGGACCTGACAGGTCGGAAACTTCATGGTGGCATCTACTTACAAATGAACTCAGCTGGGAGTTAGAAACATCCTCTTTCTCCCCCCTTCCTCCTTCCTTCAGTGGGGGAAAAAAAAAAAGAAAAAAAAAAGCTTTAGGACTTGCTTTATGATGTGGAATACTATTATGTATAGTCCACATTCCAGATTTTTTGGTATCGCATCTGTTAAAGATTCTTATTTTTGATCAGATCACATCCTTGTCATTTTCGTGTGCTTTCTTTGTGACTTTCAAAAAACTGTGATTGCATTTTTTTTTCTCTTAGGAAGTTGTTTTACAGCCATGCAATGCTTGTCCCGAGGAAACGTGTGAGTTTTTGTTCTGCTCAAAAAAAAAAGTGGCTGTTCAATTAAATATCTCTAGAAAAATACAGCTCTGACTTCTGCATGAGATAGTGTTAATTTGGAAACCACAGAGAAAAATACATATGTTAGACTGATACACTAAGTACTTATTTAATCAAGAAGAGTGGGATTATAATCATGTTTAATTTCAAAGTTTTTAGAGCAGAATATTCAACTGAAGGCTGGCGTGCCTTCTCAAGATTTTAAGTGCCGAAAATATGTAACCAGTAACCAATCTCCAAAAYACACTTGTAATAATTATGGAAATAAAGTGTAAAAAAAATTACATCCCTCAGTTTTTAACGGCCTGATTATGTGGACCACGTTTCTTCCCCATGAGGATGCTTGCCAGTGAGAGGACCAGGGTGTGAAAWGCGTCTTTACCCAGTGTGGAAACGATTTGTGCTGTTCAGCTGCTGTTTGTGATACTTGTTGTGATCTATTTTACAGAAAAGTCCAGTGCCAAGTGTGTTTTTCAGCCTGGTGTCTTGCTGTGTGCTGCCTTCAGTGTTTGCGTCCTTTGAGGTTATGTAATTATATAAAAATGAGCAAGTTTTGCCAGCCATTTGTAGTAGCCCTTGGCAGATTTTCAGTTGCAAGATGGCATTTGTTTTATGGTCCCTSTCTTTGTCCCTTCTGCTTGACCTCTGGGGTGAATTGCCTGTGTTATTCAGCCTCACAACGCATGTGAAGTGTGGGTAGATGGATTTGGGGGAACTATCGAATTTTGTCCCGGAGAGGTACAGCACAGCTGGGTAAARCACTGAAAGTGARGGCACACGGTACCTGTGAGGCACGRGGAAGGTGAAGAGAGGAAAATCACAAGAATCTCTGTGCCCCTTCCTCTCACTCTGGAGCAGCTGTACCTCAATTTAGGGCTGTGTCCATCCCAGTCTCTCAAGGATGGAAAAGTTGTGTTAAACAGTAGCTGCTCACCATGCTGCTKTGCTGGCACCTGTAAGATCCGACCACGCAGCAAAACGGAAAAACACTAAAAAGTATCCACAGATCCTCTTGTGTTGTCTCTTCACACCTACTGTGAACAATCTTTTTTGATTTTTGTCCCACTTGTTCCTTAAAGTAGGACTATTTCACATTAGGAGCTTGGACCTGCCAACATCTCACTGCATGGTGAAACTCTGTAAACTTTTAATCTGTAAGAAGAAATGGCCAGACTATACGAGTTCCGTTTGCAACCGCAACTGTCTGATTATATACACATAGTTTTTTTAGGTTGAAAATAAATATATAGAAAACCGGCTTGAAAGAGTATATAAGGAAAAAAATTGTGGTGGGAAGATGTGTTTTGAGTTCCGTTTTCTTAATACTCCAGTGGTCTTTTAAACTAGTCTCGTTCCCAAGAAGCCCTTAACCTTCTTGGGGCTTTGCAGACACGCAGATTTTGGTTACAAACTGACTGGATAACTAGAGACTGATTTAATTTGTTATAAAAGGATGCGTTATCAAAGTACTGTTTCTCTTCAGGTCTGTTTGGAGCAGTTGGCTGTTTGTATGAACAGTTCTTTTGTAGGAGTAGAGTTGTTTGGGTTTCTTTTTTTCATAGTTTTTTTTTTCTTTCTCTTCAGGTTTGAAAAGACTGCATTGCATGAGTTTACATAGTAAAGTCACCTTTTTTTCCACGGTGATGTTTGTAAGCTATGTAAAAATAAGATTYAGATAAAAATTCACTGGCTTCAGTGATAATTTGCTACTCATCCCTGGGAAAAGGCCAGCTGTTTTTTTAAGTATGTGGTGCTAAAAGATACATTGATTTTTATTTTTCCCCCCACTTTGAAGACAAATCTGATAGTTTAATCCTGCCTGTTTTAGAAAGTTTGTGTTTGACATTTATACACGGATTTCATCCATCAGGTCTAACTTGTAAAAGTTGCAGTTGTGCTTCTCAGGGAGTCTGGGCATTTAAGAAGAATATATCTTTCCATAAAGTGTGCAGAAGGGAAGGTTCTGGAAAYAGTAGCTRTGTATCCATAATTATTGTTGGCCGYGTGCCTCAGGTGCTCCCTGACAYTGCAYAGGTGTCTTGGGAGCAGATGGAAATGTTTCAGGTAATATATGTGCTGCCATTCACATTAAACAGGTATACAGAAGAGATTCATTCTGCTTAAATTACATAATGTCACAAGTACTAAAGCAGCCAAAATTTTAGTGACTTTGCCAAACTTCCACTGTTTGGGTGGAAAAGTTAAAATGCAATATTTAAGCCTGGTGCCAATCTATTGAACTTCTTCGTGTGTAAAAGTTAAGTTGAAATGTGGCCCATTTYGAAAATCAGGCAAAGAAAAAAGAGGGTTTTCCAATGTTTAAAAAGTTTTCACAACTTTTAGTGTGGAAGACTGATGATACCCCTCTTCTTTGAAACACTCAAAATCTGGTTAAAAAAAAAGAAAGGATGAGGGATTTGATTCCAGGGATGTGTCTTTCTCCTATTWGCATGACAAAGCATCTGAATTTAGCCAGGATACAAGCTTTTTCAAAAAGATGCATTTGCATATGCTTAGGGCTTACTGACTGTAATCGCTGAATATTTCAT